AATGAAGATAGTATAGAATATAAAAATGAAATATTGTAGGTGGCTAAATGTTTTAAATATATGCAAGGTCTAGTAAAATTATTAATGGTCGTTTATGCTATAATATACAGTAGGTATTCTTAGATTTTATAATTAAAATTTGTCTGCTAAAAGTTGATTTGTGAAATTTATTTTAAATTTATAGTTGTTTATGTGACACATTAAACTTTAATTATTAAAGTGTATGTATCAATATCTTATATATGTATATATCTCCACATATATACGTTATATTTTATGTGTATATATAGTATGTACTAAAGTACATGTAGAAAATTCACTTTAGTATTTTGAAAACAGAAAAAAGTAAAATTATTTTTTGCTATTTTGTCTGCATACGCATTGCTCATCTATTCTATTAAAACCACCTCAATCTTCACCGAGTAACAACCTCTAAGAATAATATTTATGTCTGCGCATGATTTAACGTCTTGAATAAACTCGTCTTCATGAACTTAAAAAAATATATAATTGAATCGAAAACAAATACAAAGCCCACGTCGTCACTGTCCATAATAAATATTTGGTGCTAGTGTGTTTCAAGATCATCGGAACGTTCAATAATAAAACTCGAGATGATAATAATTAATAGTGACCTCACGCTGTCTGACTCATGGCAGGTCGGCGTTAATAATTCCAGGGTTGGGTTGTATTAATATACTGTATTAAATAACATTATACAATTATTCATTACTAAATTATTCAATTTATATTTTTGGCTTTTTATTTGAACAGCGACCAGATCTAGGAGTCATAAGCTGTTGTGTAATTTTACTTATCTAAATCGCTTTTTCATAAGGCAACTCAACGGTTGGCCTATCTTTAATTCATGAATTTATTATTACAATTTCTGCAATAATGACATTTTTAATTGAGGCACCAATGCTGGATAAGGATTGTTTTTTGGTAACATACTTCATTCTAAGTAAAAATGATGTCACTACTACTGCTGCTGAATTTATAACTTATTATTACTATAACTAATTTAAATCGTACAAGTTTTATTATTTGCTAGATTATAATATTTTATATCATGCATGCATTACACCATTTTATATCATTCAAATCTAATGCTTATTTATATTTAAGATTTCTTCTAAATCCATTAGAGCAGTCTCTAAAATAATTTAAACCGTAGTATTGTATATCATATTTCGCATCATGCTGCTTGAAATATAAAAAAAATTATATAAAAATATTTTAAATTAGTAAGTTGACCATGATTAGAATCCAAAAAATTCACTGTTATATTTTATTCCAACAAGAAGCTAAATAATCCAATTTTAGATCAAGAGCAAAATTACATTTAATGGATAATTTTTTATTAGATTTTTTTAGTTTTTGTATTTTTTAAATTGATTGTTCATTCATATTTTGATAGTGTCATATACTTATTAAGACAATTAATTTACGTGGTCTGAGTATTTTTTCATTAAAAATGTTATTTTCATATAATGAATAATAAATTTATATTATTTTATTTTCTCTATTAATAATGATGCGAAATGATGTAATCTTATCATAACATAAAACGTTATGCACATAAGAAAGAGTTGAGATTTTTTTTATAATGCAGAATGCAGAAAATCTTTAATCTATAATTTTGGAGAAGTCCTATAAATTATAATTATTATTCAAAGTAAATTGTAGTTTTTAGAGAGTGTTTCACTTAAAATTCAATTATTAAAGAGGGGGACATCTTATATTTTTAAAACATAAAAATTGTAAGTGAATTATGAATGAAATATTAAATATTTCTTTAATCATAATAAATTTTAAAGGATGAAGGAAGCTTTTGGTTTAGAGAAATGAATTCCTAAAAATTATTAGTCAATCAGAAAAAAATATATAAAATATATAATACGAATTTATTCATTATTAAAACTGATATCAGGATGAGCTTGATTTAAAATACCAAATGAAGTCATTACTATAAATTATCAGCTTTTACCAGAAATTAAATTAGTTGACTCCATTTTGCCAATATTGATAATGAATATTGTTTTTTAAAAATTTGCGTCTTATAACAACAAGTAATAAGAATGAATAGAACTTCTTAAAGCATTTTTTAAACAATAATCATGAAAGTGTGCAAATTGCTTCATCGGCATAAATACTGTTACATTTCATTCATAGGTATTCTAAATCGATTAATCATTGGGTCTTTAAAAATATCTATTATATATAGGCTTTCATAAACAACTTTTATATGATACTTATCTTTGTAGTATAACAAAACGCTCAATAAATGATACGATAAACTAAATTGTAAATTATCTATTCTTATCTTGTATCGGGAAAAGCAATAAATATAGGTTAGTTATCTGACATAGTTAGTTGTTATCTTACAATTCTTGTCATATTTGCGAATAAGATTATGTTGATACTAATGTTGGCTTACAATTAATCACTTCTTTATAAATAAGCCGTAATAATTATCAATTATATGTAATTAATATTTCTTATATTGCTTATACTATGGTATCGTTAACTTTATTCTGACTGAAATACATTTCGGAATAAATTTTGTAATAACTATTAGTTTGCTGTTATAAATGCAGAGTTTTATTTGAATCTACTGGAGAAAAATTGATTAAAAATGTGGTTCAAATAATTGATATCTTTTGTCATCTATAGTGGTAGAAAATAAAACTTTTAAATAGAATATGTCTATGTCTATACTAGAATTGTCTGTTCTAGTGTATCGAATATTTTGGTAAACCGTATTTGTTTGCATATCATTACTTGATGGTCTTGGTTTTCCTTATCTATGGCCTTGGTTGTCATTTGCATCGAAATATTTGCATTCACTAATTTTTCTATATTATTAGGAAAATAAGGTATGGATGGATATAAGAAATCGTGCTATACTACATCCAAATACTTTATCTAGACTACTTTTTTTACTGATGCTAAACAGCAATCAGAACTAAGAGTTTGTAAGACTCTTCTCAAGTACATTACTTATTTTAAAGTAAAACTCACTATTCTATTTATTAAATATATTCTGTATTAGAAGGCACCTAGTGGTTGTCCTGTTCTTAATAGTGATGGTAAACTCATTGCAGTAATATCAGGAAGGGCTATCTCACTTGGAAACATATTGTGAACTATATTTTCAAGTAAAATAGAATATGATTACTGCTTGATATCGGGCTGTACGAAATGCTTTTTTCAATACGGGACGAGCAATAGTACTATGTTTGCATATCCCATACCACCAAATTTTATACCTTACTTTTTCATTCTTCTTTTTCTTCTAACTTTGATTTTTTTTCCATCTTCTAATTCTATTTTATCTTAAATCAACAATTAAAATTGTACTTAATTTCAATCCAACAAATCAAATGACAATTCTATGTGTGCCAGGAATGTGAGTCGGGCATTCTACTGACTGAGCTATTCCCACCACAGTCTTGCAATAGTAATTTCTAAGTCCCCAAGTTTCCAATTGGGTTAAAAAAAATACAAATACAGTACAACCCCGCTTAACGCGGGTGATACGTTTCTTCAAAATAAAGCGCAATAAGAAACAGCGCTAAACGGGGCTATCTTTACATGGAATTATTTATTGGGGTCAGGGAAAGATGGCTAGGACATTGGTTAGGTATTGAATTTAAAACGTAAAAATATTAACATTTTAAATTAAAAAAATTCTTAAAACCCAAATTAATACCACATTATTATTTATGCAAAAATAAAAACAAAATATAAAAAAGGAAAGGAATATTCTTAAAAAAAAACAAATAAAATTCTAAGTCAGTCATATTTAGTTAGCCTTCTGCGTTTTCAGTGTTTTTATGACGAAAGCATCTAATATTGTTTGCCTTTTCATTTGCGTTGTTCTCTTAAATGTTCTTCATAAACGGATAGAGCATCTCTACTAACACCACGCCTTACTTTTGAACTCCTGTCAAAATTCATATCAATTTCAATTATATGATCCATTATTTCAGTTACAGTAGACAAACTGCTTTTTGCAAATACCATCGAAAGTTCTTTTTGCTCTTCCTCTGAATTGCTGCTGTCAACATTTTTGTTTTCTTCTTGTTCAGTTAGTTCCTTGAGCTCATCGTTAGAAAAACTGCGCTGCTTCTTGAATTATTTTTTTGACATCTTCCACATTTCCCCCTTCAAAATCTGGGTTAAAATAAAAGAGCGCTAAACCGAATCAGCGTTAAACGGGGTATTGCTGTAGATACTCTAATAGAAAATACTCTATATCAATTAATTTTCCAATGGTAAACCCTTGCACCAGACATTTGACACATACGTCGTGGCCGAGGCTGATGAGCACTTGAACAAGTCGTCAAGCCAGTACGCGTGTACTGGTTTTCGGTAACAAATACCTTTCTCTCTAGTACTTTCTTATATATGTATTTTATTTGTTATTGCAAATTTAACGATGACATTAATTCTATTTTGCGGGCGATTCCAGTCAAATTGGCTTTCGCATAAATTTCCCATTTTAGTGGATATGAAATTTATTTATTTATGATAGGTTGACATGGGAATGCATGATTTTGATGAATGCTTGAAAAGCTACGATTTCTTTAACGGAAAAATATAATTGATATAATACAGTATGTGGGTGTTTCGCAAACACTATCAATCGATCAATGTTAAAAATTTAGACTGACAATGAGGCAACTTAGATCATTTGTGATCTTAATTTGGTTAGTTATTGAAGCAAATTAGCTCCAATTTAGATTAAGGATGTTATGACTTTTTATATAAACAAAAAAGTGTGTCAAAAATATCGATGTTTAATAAAATCATTATTAAATTACAAAGTATCGATTTTTAGTTAAATCCGCCTAATCAGTATTTATGCTTTTTACTCATTTAACTTTTTCAATGTCGTCTACATTTATTGCAATTATTCATGGTAGATTTTGATTTGAAAACATTTTTTTAATTCATATTTCATATTTATCTAATTTAATTATCTTTTATTTCAGAACTCATCACGTGTTAATGAATAACAAGATGTAACGAAACAAAAACAAAGTTCACATTGTATTCATCAAAGTGATAATTAAATAGTGTCATTCATCATATTCCTGTAAATAAGCTATTCTGAGAATTTAAAGGTATGTGGTCATCTTTTGAAACTTATTTAATCTATTAGTATTATATAAATTATTAATGTATTGGAATGACATCAGAAATATTTTTAATATTTTTGTCATCGTCTATTAAAAGTGTGTCTATATGCCCACGTAGATTTGGAAAAGATAACACTGCTTGGTTTCAACGTTTTTTCTTCTTCATTTTTACCTTGAAATTGCCAAATTTTAACATTGGAATAATTTAGTGAAAATTTATTTAATATCGAGTGCTCTTACAAAAAAATAAATTCTGCATAAAAGTCTTTCTGTTATGGCTTTTTGACAGCAATTTTATTAGATTTCTTCAGGTTTAAGGCGGATGAAGTAGTACTTAATAGGGACTGC